CTTACGATTGCCCCATATGCCACTAAAAATTGCACAAATATCTCTATAAAATTGAATCCTGCATCTTTAGCTTCATTTGCATTCATTCTGGCGCCTCACGGAACCATCTCTAATCCAAAGCCCTTGGAGCCCCTAGAGGCACTGCTATATACCACCGCTGCCCCTTCTTTGGGCTCTCCTTTGACTCTAATTAACTTGATTCAGTATTCCAGAAGAGAGCCTACAGCCCATAGCCTACTGCCTACTGCCATCTGCAATTCAATTAAAAATTAACATTTTAATTGCAAATTACTTGATATACTTTACGACGAGGCGATGCCGCACACCGACATCGAGCAGGCGTTGGAGCAAGAACTCCACTTAAATAAAGTAACTTTCTTTCTGTTATTTTTCCTTTTTTTTTGGCTACCTGCAAAAAGCGGAGAAGCACAGAGAGAGGGGAGTCGAGTGAAGGGGGGAGTGGAGTCCGGAGGAGTAAAAAGGAATTCGGAGAGAAAAGGAGCAGCAGTGGCAGCTGCAGGGTGCAAACAGCAGTTGGAGCTCATTTCATGCCGTTTAATTTTATCATGCGCCAACAATTATGCAACTTGTTGGTTCACTTCATTGGCAGGACCGGGACCAGGACCAGGACCAGGAGCAGGAGCAGGAGCTGGGTTTCCTCCAGGTCCAGAAGGAGGTCCGAGGCGGCCTCTTTTTATTTTCAATTTGTTGCCAATAAAACTTTTTCCATTTCGGTTTTCTCTCGATTGTTGTTGTTTTGCTGCTCTGAAAATTTGCTGTTGCTATTATTTCCTCAATGAAAATTGTTGGGAAAACTGTTGTTTTCCATGTGCCTCGTCATAGTTTTGTGAGTTGGCAAAAACAACAACAGGAAAATGTATAGGAAACACTAGGGAATGCGGTAGGAAATTAGCAGCAAAAACAGTTGGGAAAGCCATGGAGAAGCATTAGATCGTGCAGGAATTTTATTCCACTTTTTTCTAGTGGGAAAAATGTGGAGCTAATCAGAATTCAGAAAGCTTGTGTTTTTATTGGGGTTTTGGGGGAAAACCAGAGGAAATTATTCAAGGATCTAGTAATTATAACCGCCCAAAAAACAATGATTATTCGTAGGAATATAACATACTAATATTCAGGGAATTTTGAGCACTTTTAAACAAAAATGATAATGGAATCTGTGTCCATTTATTCTACGATTTATTTCGAAGGAGTGATGAATTCTAATTAGATTCTTTATTCATTCGGGTACTTATTCAATCGCTCCTTTCATTCACTCTATACTCTGCCGCTATTTTCCTTCCAAATTCTTGCCTCCACATGTACTATAAATATTCTCCTTAAATAAGTGCACCCCATCGTGGGAATTCCTTTGTTCTTTTTGCTGCTTTCCACTCAATAAATTCCTTGATCAATTTGCTGTCAATTTGTTATAGATATATCTCCGCATCGTGTGTCTCTGTATCGCTGTCGTGTCGTGTCCTGTCTTGTTGCACAACAATTGTTGCACAATTGTCTTTCTGGCAAAACGAGACCTAATCAATTGTGAAAGAGAAAACTCTTTAGAGAGCTCTTGTCATATATGCATGTGCATTTTGATGTAGAATTTTTCTGTATTTGATCAATTTTCCTCTCTAAATAAAATAAACGAAAATATTTTTCTCTTTGAAAATAAATGTCGCTTTGGATATCAATTTTCAAGTTCGTTGAAACAAATATTTTTTTTCTTAAATATTTGCAAATTTAAGTTTTTGAAGATTTTTTTATAGAATTTTATACAATAAGGAAATATTATTTGTTGTTTATTCGAAGGCAAAAAAGGAGATTGCAACACAATTTTAAAGTACTTTGATGAAATTTATTTATAATTGATTGTTAAATTTTTGTAAGGTAAAAATGTAAATTTCTATAAAATTTAAAAGGTTTTAAATGTTTTTTTTAGCGGCTTTAGAAATTTTATAGAAATTTTTCTATAATTTATAGATGAATTTTATAAGATATTCCCCTTGTAATCTGAAGAGCTGGCCTTAAATGGATTTTGAGAACCGTTCTAAGAACTTTTCTGCCGTTTTCTGGCTTTTTAAATCCTTTTCCATGAGGCTTTCTCGCCCCTTTTCAAGGTTGAGCCCTGGAAAAGTATGCGTGAGGGGACTCCACTGCCCTTGCTCTAACCCTTGAAGCACCAGTCCATGGCCCTTCCGTTAATTGCTTTTGTAGACAAATTATAAAAAACATCCCGAATGTTTGGGGCATTGTTTTGCGTTTGAGGATTGCCTGGAAAACACACACAGTTCAAAAACAGACAAAACCACGGACGTAACCATGACCATGAAAAAAGAGAAAGATGAGAGACAGAGAGCGAGTCCTTTCTGTGTGTCCTCGTGCTGCTGTGTCCTGTGTGTGTGTGTGCGAAACGGTGGGTCAGTTTTAATTTAACTTTGACATGCATCAAGCTCTCTCACAAAAATCCAATTACAAAACAGAAATACAACCAAATGGAGAGGGGGAAACCCCCTTTGCTGTTTCCTTTTTTTCGTGACTAGAAAAACCATTAAATGTATCTTTTTTTGTGCCATAAAGATGAAGATTTATGCAACCATTACCGAGGAAAATGTGTATTAAAATTTGAGTGTGCAAAGTGCTAGAAAAATCTGTGGAAAATCAACAATGAAATAGCGAAAGGAAATGTCCAGTCAAACGTTTAAGCAACGAGGAGGTGGTCCTCCGAAATCCGATCGAAATGCCAACGAGGAAAATCATCATCAACAGCAGCAGGAGGCGGCGGAGAAGCTGCAGCAGGAGCTACTGCCACTGCCACAATTGGGGGCCAAACCCAAGAGCCAGAGGGAGAATAAAAGCCAAAGGATCCTCCAAACAAAGACTGAAAACCAAAATCAAAATCAGCGACAAAAAGCCCAATCTTTGCAGGGATATGGCAACTATATGGAACTGGAGTTCATACAGGCAGAGGCCGCTTCTTCGGCGACCTTCGATGACCTGCCCGTGAGCTATGCCACCACCAGTGTGGCACCAGTGGCACCACCGCCCTATCGCGAGCCACCACCGCCCACACCGCCTCCGCTGTCACAGATACCCTCCAGAGAGTCGCGACTGTTGCACTCAGCACCAAACACACCCATACGTGGCAAGGTTGTTCTGAGCAAAAAGGAGAGGAAGGAGCTGAGCAAACAATTGGGCTTGGAGGATCTCCAAGGACTGCCCTTGGGCGGTAGTACCTCAGCCCAGTCGAGTCCGTACAAGGGAAGAGTCAGCGAATTGAAGAACTGTATAGCAAGGGGACTTTTCGCCACACTGCATAGGGGAACCCCCAAGGAGAGGGAGTTGCACATCAATCAGGAAATATCTCCGCCCCCGCCGGCACCAGAATCGGGCAACAATAATGAGGATGCGGCAGACTATTCCGAAAAACTAAAGAATCTGCCAGTTCGCCAACGAAAAGTGGCCACTCGTCACATGGATAACTACTGTCTGTTCGATCCCGTGGATTTTATCAACGACAAGGCCATGCGCTATCCCAGTGCCACCACCAGCACCAGCACATCCCATGGCCTCAGGGATCCGCTGTTCAGCTCGCGACAGCATTTGGTCTGCGAAGACGAGGACGAAATGGTGCCCGAAGTCATTTACGACAATGAGGAGCTGGAGCTCGAAGAAACGATCATTATTGAGACCTCTGCGTTGCCCGAAGCGGAAACCGAAGGCTGTGCCGAGCCCAAGGATGTGAGGATACACTTTGATCATCATAATTATTTCGTGATAGAGCCGGGAGTATGCACAATGGACATTGGGATCCCCAATCCGTACACGAACGAGCAGCTGGTGAATGCAAATCTAGAGCAACAGAATCTGGAGAAGCTTTTCCAAGAGCTGGAAAACCCCGCCAGCATGTCCAACAGTCAGGAATCAAAGGACACAGAAACCACTTCCACGGCGCTCGTGGAGTCCTCCACCTCCACAAATTCGGGCAGCTCAATGGGCAGTACTTCGATTCAGAATCAGGCACAACATTCCATGAAAAAGAAGTTGACGTTTCTGAATCTTTCACCCTTTCGTGGCGGAAAGAAGTCTGGCGATAAGTCAACCTTTGAACAGCAGCAGAGAGCCATTTCAGAGCTCGTGAGCACCGATCACATGCTGCACTTGCAACAATTGCTGCAGGAACAGCGCAGGGATCAGCGCTCGCACACGGTGCCAGTGCCCACGGAGTCGAATTATGTTCTATTTAATCCCGGCCCAGTGCCCAGTCGTCATGTGCAGTACAAAATCCGGAGATCAAGACCTTTGTCGACGCACAGCGATGCGGATAGTGGATTTTTGTCGCCCTGTTCCCCGGATGAGATGAGAGGAAATCCAGCCATACTGGTGCTGCAGCAATGCGACAGTGTTCAGGGCTATATTGAGGTGAGTTTTACAAGGAATTTTAGAGGTACATTAACTTTATCTAATATACAAAACTCTCGTATCTCGTTGAATGGGTTTCAACTTCTCCCAAACGTCTGAGGCTATTTTGATGAGATTTTTGTCTGGATTGTCTTTGTATTTTTGCATGAACAACGTCCAAATACTCCATACGAAATGTAAACATAATCAAGTATGTTTTGATCTATTTGTGCGTGTCTGTTACGTTTTTGTGACTGAAAAAGGTTCGCCCTGTTTCACATGCACAATGCCATTGGGCTGTGGAATGAATAAAGCAAGAAACTTGCGAAATAGTTGAGCAGAACAGGCGAACGAATCCAATAAAATAACGAAAATGTGAGTGTGAGAAGGTCGCAAGTGCGAGAATTTCAATCACAAAAGGCAGGATATGAACGAAATCAACAACGACCATTGGAATGTAGTTGAAACTTCACATAGAAAATGGGATACCTTATTGATATTGGAAGATATCGGTCAGACTGAGGTATTTAATATGCAATAATACGTGGAGATATTGTTCCCAGGCTTGCTATGAAAAATATGTCAAATAATTGGCCAGATTATTGCAGTAGATAGATTTACATATATTTTATTATTATGTATGTATATGTGCATTTGTACAAAGACACTTTTCAGATGTTTTCGAGTCGTGTTGAAAGTTGAACCAGCTGTTGGCAGAACAACCAATCCTTTTCCTGATTTTCTTCTGTTAGCGAGCCAAGGCAGTCCTCCATTATCCCAGCTCCCGTCTAAGATCAGGGTCTAAAACGTAAACCCTCCCCAGAATTGAGGACCGCTGGGGCCACAGCAGGAGTTGAAGGGACCATTGTAGGATCCAAAGCAGGGATCGTAGAAGCCGCTGGGACCACAGCCACCGCATTGGCACAGGGCGGCAGAGGGATAGCACGGATAGTTGCACATTTTGTTCCTTTAACTGGATCGCTGTCCTGAAAATATAGTTGTATTTCAGTTTAATATTTGTTGAACATATTTGTAATTTTTTAATTTACTTTTCTCGCTAGACACAAAAATAGGAAATAGGATTTTTTCGAAATATTTCCTCGACTCGTAAAACACTCCGCACTGTACAAAGATCTAAATGAGACTGAATGGAAATGTTTAATGCGCCCTAAGGCTGATATGAATGTTAGGCGGAGGCCTACTATATTTAAGGGAAAGTTGAATTTATCAGTACATTTATCAGTATACAAAAGGCACTTCTCTGAAAGGCTTATAGATAATGGCAGTATCTACCATTACGATTGAAAAAGTTATATCTAAAAGAGATTCTTACTGAAATTTTTATAAATATGAAGCTGTTACTTTGTTTGCTTATAAATGAAGCTATAATCTAACTATTTACCAAAAATCCTTGGAATCGGTTCCATTTTCTCTTAAGTTTTAGCATTAACATGCTATCCCATGACTATCCGCCAAAACGAGTTCCTTATCCTTTTTGCAACGCTTAGCATCCTCCCCTTTGCTCTTTGGACTCTTTCATGCTTCCCATACTTTTGATGTACTTACTGATTGCTTCGTTAAAATCCTCTTTAACCAAAAGTACACCCCTTAGAAGGCGGGGCTTATCTATAGGTCGTTTTATATATGTATAATTTCGTATATCTTAAGCTGGTAATCATTTTGTGGGTGAGCTGTTTCCTGTTTCCGATGTTTCCCTTTCGATGTCGGTGTCGCACACTTGTCGCACCATTTGCCGGCTCGGTTCACTTATCTTAACGAGCGAAAGGAACTTAACAAGTCTTATAATATGCATCTCGAAAGTACACCCCAGGGGAGGTGTTGGATTATCCAACCGACCACCCTCTGCCTCCCCAGAAAGCCACCCCCCAAAATCTTGCTTGAATTTCTGTTTTTGGGAACAACTGCAGTTTTCTGGTCTGTTGCAACGATTGAGATTTTGGGTGCTCGGGGGAGGGTTTTGATTGCATCAGGTTTTCCCATTTTCTCAGTTTTCTTCCATGACTTTTGCCCTCTCTCTCTCTTTGTTTTCTCTCTCTCTTCTGCTGCCTCCAGGGAGCAATCAATCGTCGCGTATTCTCGCCGCTGCTGCTGCTCGCTTCATTAGTTTTTCCCTCAGCCTGAAACATTAGTTTGATTGTGTGGCAGACGCCAAAGCCAAGTGGCAGACAGACAGGCAGGTGGGAGGTGGAAAACCCCCCCACACTCTCCTTCTCTGGAAACACCATCTGTGTGCCTTCCATCTTACGCGACTTTTAATGGAATTGAATTAAAATTGTTGCCATGGTGTTGAGTGGAGTTCTGTCGTAGAGAAAGAGTGAGAACAAATAAACAGGAAAAAACACGAACAACAGAGGCAGGGGTGTGCCATACATCGATGTGGAGTGGAAAGAGCAGGGGCTTTCCCCATTCCCTCCTCGAAAGCGCAGAGGCTTTTCCCTTCCATCACGTACTCTTGCCAGAGGCATTTTCTATCATTTGCAAATTGAAAATACGAGCGCTGTAAATTTTGGCTAGCAAAAAACCAAACGGAACAGATGAAAATCGAAGGGAAAATCTCCCCTCAGAGTCTCTCTGTCTTTGCCTTTAAGGCAATTTTTATCCCTAATGAAACGAGGAACGAAATGAAGCATACTTCTTGGCGCTACGAAGTGGCGCTTCCAAAAAGTGTCAAGTGCATTGCTTTTGCAGTCGATTTCCCACTTCAGAGAATGGGCTTCTCGGGGGAGGATGGGATGGTGCTTCAAAGAATGGAATGGAGATGGGGATGTGTATGGGGATGGGCATGGGCATGGTAAGGGCATTGGATTTATGGATAGCTGTTTGGGGTCAACTGCAAGTGAAGGTTCTTCAAACGGAAAGCCACTGCAAACAGGAACAGGCCAAAAGAGAGGGGGACTTTCACACAAACGGTAGTGGCAGAGGGGAAGGCCACTGCAAAGGAGATGTCAGAGAGGAGGACGGAGAATGTCCACAGGAGGCAAATGGAATGTAAATTGATATACACGCGGGGGGGCAAACAACAGGAGCATCAAGGACCTGCCAGAATGATGAGGTCCGAGAGGTAAATGTGGTGGACGTAGTTTTTGAAGGGAAAATTAGATTTTAGGGGAGAAAAATACTAGAAAGGACAGCGGGAAAGGTTAGTTTTTCATGAGATGAAAGGACCGATAATGATTACAGATAGAAATGTTGTGGAAGATGGAAGAAAAGGGAGATTAGGAGAGGACAAGATGTGACAGTAGATGTTGAAGAAGCATAAAATAGAAAGATAATCATAAAATAGAGAGAAAAAAAAATAAAGTAGCAAAAAGAATGTATGAAATTATCGGAATTACAAGGAAATTATAGGGAAACTTATATTGTAGATAATATATTTACTGAGTGCCTTATAGAGCACTTCTACGCTGATGAAGACGCCTAGAAATTTCTCCTTCAAATCAGAGTTTTTTGAGTTAAATCTCGAAAAATATATATTCTATTTTCCATTTTCTGTTTTCTATGTAAATTCCATTCCAATAATCGTAAGGGATATTCCATGATTCCATGAATAAATCCATATTATAAGGATAGTGTAGTTAAACTTATATTGTAGATAATATATTTACTGACGATTTACTTAGGCACTTACCCTACTAGAACGCATAGAAATCTCTCGACTAAGAGATTCTTGAATAAAGACTAAGTTTAATATGTTCCAAGTATGAATGCTAATTTATATATATTTAATATATATTTTCGTTGTTTCCTTTTTCCATTTTCTCTTTCTTAAATTCCATTCCAATAAACATAAGGGATATTCCATGATTCCATATCCGAATCGAAGCCAATTTTCTGCCTTATTTTCCGCACGAAAAAAAGGCGAATAAAAATTGCAATTCATAATTATCGTGTGTACAATTTTGCACATATGGTGTATCCCCAGATTCCAATCCCAATCCCAATCCCGGCAGCCCCGGACATAATTATAAAATGCATTAAACAGTCGAACAACATTTATTGCCTCAGTCATAAATCAAAAATTTATCTCGGAACGAAAAGACCCAAAAAACCCCTGATCCCTGGACCGTGACTCCCTCCCATCCCTTCTGGGACCCCACCCACTGCACACTCTCTCACTCTCTCTCCCTTTGTCCCCTTGCTGCACCCACAGCTCTCTCCCTTGACTTCTGGGACCTCCTGATAATCACCAAGGGAATGCAGCGACACTTTTTACAACTTATTGGACTAATCATCTGAGGAGGCAGGGGGTAACAGGGGGTTTCCATGGGTTTTAGGGTTTCCCGGGAGTGTGTCGTGCTGTGGGTGTGGGTGTGTGTGTGTGAGTGTCCCATAAAGTAGCCGCAGGACACGCGACTTGCCCAAATGCCGCCTGCGACTATAACCAGAAGAGGAAACAACAAATTTTTTGGGTGCAACACCCACCCACCCCTTTACGGAAGCACCCAGTGGCAGCATCCGCCGAATGTAGCTGTGGCCGTGCCTGTGCCTCTGCCTCTGCCTCTGCCTGAAGCTCTCCTGCTGCCTCCTTCTGTTGCAAGTACAACTATGCCTGACAGTTGACAGCTTAGCGCCTCGCGACAAATATTCGGCCAGTACGACGAGGGTCCATCAGGCAGCGCAGCGGAGTGGGTGGGTGAGTGGGTGTGCGTTTGTGTGGTTGCAAGCAAAATTGCATGCCTCAGTGCCGTTTTGCAATTTGCAATTGAGACTTTTTCGCGCAAGGAGAGGGGGGGAGAGAGAGCTCTAGCATGGAGTACAGCCTGCTGTTTAGGCCAAAAATCGTTGACCAACGCGCGACAGAGAGAGGAAGGAAGGGACTCTACTAATTTATGGTTATATTCCCCAGTCCCCAGTCCCTGCAATCGCTAGACGCCAGTCGCCAGCCGCCAGCCGCCGTTTGCATAAATTCCAAAATGTTTTTGTTTGCTTTGACTTTGATGGAAAGTGGACGAAGGACGAACGACGAAGGAACCACTAGATATCCTTCTCTTAGGAATACGAAATGGGAAACGGCATTGGGAATGCCCTGCCATGAAGGGGGTGGAATATGTGAAGTGGAAAACTTCCACAGAAGATGGAAAATTCTCTATCGACAATTACTGGATTTTGACTTTTGAAATTGCATCTCTGCTTTTTGGGAAACTGAGTTTTCATTTATGTGTGCTTCCATCTGTAAATGGAATTTTCTTTTGGTTAAAGGCAAACATTTATGGTGAAAATGGATTTTACTGAAAGAAAATGTGATTTCTGATTCTGTAAATCATGATGTTTGTTGCACTGGGAAATGATTTGGGTCCAGAAACACAAATTCAAGTGGAAAACGTTTCCTGTTCCGATTCCTTACGCTGAAATCTGACTGTTTTGAGCAGAGATTTCTTTAGATTATAATTCTATGGAGTGCTTTCCAATAATGTAGGTGTATTTGTAATTTCTTTACGTTTTTACTAGCTATCTCTACAATTTTTTATTGTAATTTTTGCATATTTTTTAATCCAATTTTAAGCCAGAGTTCTTCTTAGAATAATTTCAAAACGTTATAAATATTGAATATATATTTTTTGATGTAATATTTTATTTTTATAAACATTTTATGCAGAATTTAATTTTTTTAAAGGTTTGTAAAATGTTTTAAATTTGTAATATACTATTTAATATTTCTATTTATTACATTTATATTTGTTAAAATTATATTAATAATTATTTATATTTATATAAATTTGTATTTAATTTCAACAAAAATGTACAAAAATTCATATGTTTTGTCCACGAAATTTAAAACCCAAAACCCCAAAGGAAATCTATTCATTCAATTCACTTTATGATTTCATATATGAAATCGGTTTGGAAATTGCATTTCCCAGAACGCATTAACGAGAAACAGTTTTTCCCCCTAAGAGATTAAAAAACATTTTCCTGTATTTCCAACAATCGATAATTATGCAGGCAATGCCAGATGTAGATGTGAATGTTGATGTGGCTACAGATGTTGTCGATAAGAACCTGCCACATGCAACTGTCAATATTTTTCCCTCCGCCTGGGGCCTCTTCCCCGCGGCATGCCCCATTTATAGGCGCTGGATTAAGCCTCGAATT